ACTCGTGTGTATATATATATATATATATATATATATATACATACACACACACACACAACAGTAGTCTCAAACATTCTACACACTACTAGACATTATGAAGCAATGTTACTCAATTAAATGAAGGAGAAAATTCGAAAGGTTCGAGTAACATGATGTCAAATCACAACATTTGAATTACACAACGTATTATGATTCATACACAGTCACGTAAACAAACCTGGCATAACTTTTGCTTCTAAATATAACTAAATTTATCACTCGTGCCATACTTAAACCATTTAAGTTATAATGCTTGCTTTAATTTAAACACTCGTGAATATCTAACAATGAGAAACTGTAGATGTGCATTTTGGAGATGCTAGAAGCTATACAAATACAATATGCAAACTGTACAAAAGTATTTTTATTTTTCACTTGAACTTTACCTTGCAGTTAGACTTGTCAGATTTACATTGGCAATTCACAGCCATATCTTGATTACAAATACTTTTGTAACATACTTGTACATTTTACTAAAAGCTTGACAAACTTTATGTAAATACATGTAGTAAATTCAGAATTACAGTCAGTATTCCTTTCTCCAATAAAAGGTCGGTCTGTTAGAATGACCACTTGCACATTCAGTTAATATGGTATAAACATGTGTATTGACATTATGCGCTTATTCTAAATCTATAGTTATATATTTTGATGGAGTATCAGAAAATGAATCTGTCTTTCTTTTCTTATCACAGAATATTGGGTAATAATCTTTACTTTGCATGTACCTGATAATATGTAAGTTCTTCATTCTGTATACTATCATACACAGATTGTTATGTCCATACATCCCAGTTGTGTAATCACTCTTCACTGCTTTGTATATCTTGTTATATTTATTTTGACTAATAATACATGAAACCTAAATAATTATGTTTCTAATAATACATGAAACCTAAATAATTATGTTTCTAACAATACATGAAACCTAAATAATTATGTTTCTAACAATACATGAAACCTAAGTAATTATGTGTCTAACAATACATGAAACCTAAATAATTATGTTTCTTCTTCCCGTAGTGCAACCCAGTAGGAAGACACACCAGTTGAATCTTCAGCGAATCAGACGAGAAGAATCTCGAGCAGAACAAAGGCAGAGAAAATATCGTTATTTGTATCAAGTGAGGACAGCACATGGAGATGTAATATGTCAGGTGGGGAGAGCCTGTTATAATACTGTTTACAGGGTTCTTTCTGAAAACAGAGATATAATATATTAGGTGAGGAGAGACTGTTATAAAACTGTTTACAGGGTTCTTTCTGAAAACAGAGATGTAATATATCAGGTGGGGAGAGACTGTTATAATACTGTTTACAGGGTTCTTTCTGAAAACAGAGATGTAATATATCATGTGGGGAGAGCCTGTTATAATACTGTTTACAGGGTTCTTTCTGAAAACAGAGATGTAATATGTCAGGTGGGGAGAGCCTGTTATAATACTGTTTACAGGGTTCTTTCTGAAAACAGAGATGTATTAGGTGGAGGGAGCCTGTTATAATACTGTTTACAGGATTATTAAATTAAAGTTTCTTTATTCATTTTGTCTACAATTTCAGCCAGCCAGTGCAGTAGTTCAGAATATTGAGTTTATGTATTGATAAAGAAATACAGATACGAAGAAGTTAGCAATTACATGAAATTGTTGTTTTATCATCTACTGTGAACTTAAGCCTATAAAAGAACACTGGTTAAGCTAAGTCTTATAAAATGTAGTCAAAGAAATGAAAACAATTTCCTTATCATTAAGTGAACTGGGTTTTGGATTCTTATTTCTTTAGCAAATAATTGACAAGACCAAAAAATAGAGAACACACAAGACTGGTGTCAGAATTAAGTTGGATTATTTTGGTAAAAATAAAATAATCAAAATCCAACCTCAAGGCCCCTTGAGATGGATTCCTGTACGTGAAAAGGGGACCTTCTAGGGAAGGTTCTGTATCTTCAGTTTATCTTCTCTGGAATCTGAACATCCATCATGTGTTTGGTGTGTGTGGCATCCTGTGAAGGGGAGGAGAGGATCCTGGTGATTGGGGGGTGTCATTGATGGATAAATTTATGTCGGTGGCACCTTAACACATCACTTTGGTCTTGAATTCCTGTAGACAGGTGGTTTTGGAGTGGCTCTCCCAGGGTCCTGTTAGGCTATGGTCAACTAAGTACCAGTATACGATGCTCATAACAGGTGTTGTGGACATTGTGTCTGATGCTGGTGTTTGGGTATAGTGCCCATGAAACCCTGGCATTTCTACAATGCTCTACTTTAGCACTGTAGTGTGTCCTCTTGTAGGACTCCATGGTGGGTGAGATCAGTGGACACTGAAGTTTTTCTCTTTTGTATGGATCCTACACCCCGTGAACCAAAAAAAACAACATACAAATAACACCCATTAATAGGAAAGTGACCACGATTGGATGACTCTGAACAATGGTTGCCACCCCAATCTGTTCATGTACCTCGTTTTCTAATCCTACATTCTACATCTGACAAACCTTTAGGGAATATGTCTCCTTATCCGTTCAGAAGGGATTAGTTAAGAAGCTACATTCTGGGGACATCTACACCAAAACACAATGAACTCCTCCTGAATTCAAAGTCCATTAGGGGTATAGCTATTGAGGTTACTCCCCATGCTACTTTGATTTCTTCCCGAGGAGTGATTGTTGAGAGGGATTTACGAAACATCCCCGAGTTGGAAATCCTCATCAATTTCTCCAGCCAAGAAGTTTCTACTGTGTGATGTATCTCCACTCATAAAGAAGGATTTATGCTGCCTTCCAATGTTCTTGTTTTGACATTTACATCAAAACGTCTGCCTGCCACTATCAAGGCAAGGTTTTCTGAACTGTAAGGTATGGCCTTATATTCCTAATTGCCTAAGGGGTTCCAGTGTCAGTGGTCAGGACATTCAAAGGCATCTTGTTATGGTTCTTAAATGTGTGCTTATTGTGGTGGCAAAGACCATAACACCTACGAGTGCCCTAAGTGGATAGAGAAAAAAAAGAGGTTCAGTATTTACGTACTGTTGGTGTACTTTGGTGACAGATTTTCTTGTAGGCAGATTTTGTTAAACAAGACCGATGTCTGTAGGTTTACTTTCTTCTTAGAATTCTTCTCAAGAAATCGATAAGCCGTCTTAACGTTGTTAGAACAACGGGTAAAAGTTGTAGATAGTGATGAGTTGGCCGACGCGTTTCGAATGCGTTCTGCATCCATTATCAAGGCTGAATGTTGTGTGAATTGTAATTACTGTTTGTTGATATTTAAAGGTATAGGTAAGCAGGTGGTGGTATCTAGCTCGTGGAAGGAGTTAATTGGTGGAGTGTTGTATTGTGGCTTGTGGGTTTCTCGCCAAGAAGTAGCAGTGTGCGTGCTGTT